AATTGAGATTGTAAGTGGGGTCTGTGAAGAGAATTGGGGAGAGGTGGGCAAACAACATTTGTGAGGGAGATCAGGGAATTGGGGGCAACCAGGGTTCACAAATGGATTGCGGGGCCAATGGGGTCTATGTATAGGTGGGGAGAATTGATGAGACAAGAGGGCTCCACAAGGGGGTGGATTGGGGGAACAGAGGCTATTTTTAGCCCCCTGACTTCCCCACCCCTAGAGAAATAAAGCTAGACCAGAACCAGACGAACTTCTGGTTCCTATCCCAAGTATGACCTTCCTTCTAGCTAGTAATGTGCATGTGCATTAATCTTCAACATTCTTAAAGTCAACTAAACATCAACCACCTTTTACGTAATTACAACACGCAGCTATAATAAACTTGGAACTTTCTCACACTGTATCTGGCATGATTGGGAAACTGCTGTATACAAGATTAATGGTCATTTCTATTTTCATTTCACCAAAGCTGTGAATTACAGCTAGTCCACTAAGTGCCTGTTTATGTAAGTGAACATAAAGGGCCTCTTTTTTATTTATACTGGGCCAAATTACTTCATTATAGTAATGGAAAAAGGAATCTGAAAATGTACACAAAGCTAGAGTAGTATTGAAATGTGAAAAGGGCCTTAAAGTAAATGGGAATTATACCCACTGGTTCACAAACCTCCATAATTCTTACCCTAAACCTCACCTTAACTGGGATGGGTCACTTTTTTGATATTCCATTGTAACACAATTATCTGATTCACTTTTGAAAGGTTCCATTTAATCCATTTGGTGGACTTCCTGTTACCTAATCACGATCATCATCATTGCTGCTGTTGTCTGTTTTTGCAAGATATCCCATTAATCCTACAGGCATGAAGCCTTTATTTTTAAACCCAACTAAATCCATGCAAGTCTACCATGCTAAATTTTATATTATAAAATGCCAGGCATGAACTAGGTGTTTGTTACATCTTAAATATCAACAATATTAGTTATTAATGGAAAAAGCTTCCTCTGAGAGCTGGAAGACCGATTATAAAATAAACACGTATTTTTGAGGACTGTTCTGAAAAAAAGTCTTGTCCAATTCTCAGCCTTTGCATTGACTTCAACAAAAGTTAGATCAAGTCCCCAATATCTGTTCTCATACTATAGAAATGTATTTGTTTCTGAAATCTCATTGTCTTAAAGTAGTAAGAATGGCAAAGGGAAAAGAAAATCTAAGTGGAACTGGATATTAAAAAACAAAGATGGAATCGCTCTAAAGAAAACCTTCCAAGTCAAGACAATTACACTCCTTAAATTTCCAACCATTTAACCCCTGAAGTGTTTATCAGGCATTGTTGATCAGTAATCACTTTTTTGTAGTTAGGAAGCCAGTTCCTGCTGCAGCTGGCAGAGCTTTCTCAGTCATCTGCACATCAGAGGGAACAGCTGCCAGTGAGCCTGGTGCCCAGTTAGGTTTCCCTGCTCAGTAGGGGCTTTCTGGGAGCTGCCCCGCTTGTGGGGCAGCTGCCAGCCAGTGAGCCCCCAGCTGGGCAGGGAATGATCTGGGGCTTGCTGTGAGCTTTCTCACTTATGAAGCAGCTGCCAGTGGGCCCCCAGCTGGGCAGGGATTCCAAGGGAGAGCCAGGAGCCATGCAATGCTGGGACAGAGAGGAGCAGAGAGCAACCATGCCCTGGCACTTATTGGTTCCTAGCTCCTGGAGAGAGCCAAGAGTCATGCAATGCCAGGCCGAGGGTACAGAGAGTAATCCTGGTCCCAGAACTGATCAGCTTCTGTCTCTTGGTGGTGCCAGGAGCTGAGCAACACCAGGACCGGGGACAGAGCACTGAGCAACACTAGGACCAGGGTCCCCTTTTCCTATGGCTCCCTACTGGTGTGGCTGACTAGGAGCAAATTTACTCTTGGCCAGCATCCACAGAAGCAGTATTGCAATAGCTAATGTGCAATTAATCTACTATCTATATTTATAGGTAGTAAAAAATGGTGCATTAGTCTAATTTACTGCACAGTGGGAATATCTACATGAGATGCTGACTGCACAGGAGCCAAAAAATACTGTGCAGTAGTGCGTCACAACATGGACAGTACTAATATGCTACTGCACAGTATTATTAGGTTACTGCATGGTAGTGTCACTTAAAAGATACTTGACGGCAATACTGCACAGTAACTCCAGTTACTGTGTATTTATTTAGTACTTGCAAAATAAATGTGTATTAGCAAGTGCTAAATAAATGTGCAGTCATGACTGTGCAACAGCATCTCATGTAGACCTGCCCACAAGCGGGCTGCTGCACACAGTTACATGGTTACACCTTAATGTGCAGTAGATTAGCCTACTGCGCAGTAAAGTGTCTTGTGTAGACATGTCCAGGGTGTGCTTACAAACAGGAAAAGAGTGCAAGTCGGAATTAGAGTAACAGTCCATATGTCTGTATGTTTGCTTATTGAAATTTTTTTTATTGTATAACATGGAACTTAGGTACAGTATTTCTTATATGTTTCTGACACTTTGTTTTTATTAGTAGTACATATAGTTTATAGCATAACTATAATTTGTTTGATGGATAATAAACTTTTTAAATTTACACAATCAGAGGCAACAGAACACGGAGTTTAGGATCCAAATTTGTGGTTCAGTGTCTAGGAAAGCCTTCTATAAAAGGCAGACTATGGATTTCTGAAAGCAAGTTTTTTTCCCCCCCTCCCAAAAGGCAAATCCCATTTGAATTCCTTATGTCAGCTGTCTAATTAGTTCCAATACAATCAGTTTTAAGTCATGTGAACAGGATACTGGGTTAAGAGGAAACCCAGATTTGACAAGACTGTCAAGGATTTCTGAGCTGAAAGGTTCCAAAGGCCTTGGAAGACCAAGACAGAGGGTTTGCCAATATAATAAAGAAAAAAATTTAAAATGCTTTAAATTTGGTATCACAGACTGAAAAATGGTTAGTTTACTTACCTTAAAAGGAGGACTGGAGTCACTTGGCCTCGCAGAAAAATCAAAGGAGATGATGAGATCAACTCCTCGCTGAGGTCGTAAAATAAGAGGATAAGGCAAGTTAAATGTAAGCCCACTATCTACTATATGAATCTTTTTGCTCTTCACGTCCAGTGGCTCATATATCCTTTCAAACTCATCAGGATCTAAGGAAAACAAATGCAGAAACCCAATGCCAGTTAAGAACAGAACTCAAGATAAGTTCTTTCAACTTTTTCCCAAGAATGGGTAATTTAGTTAAGCATATTGTGATTAAATTACCAGTTTTAAAAACATGCTTATGTCTATAAAATATAGTAAAGACAACTTTAACAAAACACTTAAGAAACAAAGCAAAGAATTGTCTGAATCCTCTAACTACTCATTTTAACTTTTATTAATAAATCCTAATTGCATATAAAGTGCAGACTGGCTCAAACATTCTTTCAAGGCTCCAGCATCTGAAATTAGAATTTAGGCTTAATTTAATACAAGCTACATGGTGTTTATACTACCTTTTGTATGGTCCTGGGGCATCACTGTGTTTTACAGAACAGGTAGTATAGTTTGCAAGGCTCAAAAAATGCAGTATTCCCTTTGTGATGCCTAGGTTCCTATGTTTGTGTATGTATACATGTATGCATGTGTGTGTCTGCATGTCATAGATTCATAGAATCATAGAGAAATAGCGCTAGAAGGAACATCCAGAGGTCATCTAGTCCAACCCCTTGCCTGAGGCAGGATCATCTGTATCCAAACTATCCTATACATAATATAAACTGTACATAAGACTGGTGTCAACCCTGACATGACACAGTGCTAACACCTGAACCTGAGACAGGTAAAACAGGGGAACCACAGCAGCAAATGTCTTGCTTCTATAAAATGTTGTCACTACATTCAAGGGGCCACAACCCCCACCACAGTAGAAGACAAATGACACTAAGATGTGGGGAGAAGTGGGCACGCTGGAGGAGAGGGACAAGCTACAACTAGATCTGGATAGGTTACAGGGGTGAGCGGATGAGAGTAGGATGGGTTTCAATATGGACATGTGCAAGGTACTGCACCTGGGGAGGAAGAACCAGCAGCATACCTACAGGCCAAGGAACTCCCTTCTTGTCAGTGCAGAGGCAGAAAAGGAATCATTATTGATGCCACAATGAACATGAGCCGCCAATGTGGGGAAGCGGTCAGGAAGGCCAACTGCACCTTGTCATGCATCCACAAATGCATCATGAGCAGGTCCAAGGAGGTGACAGTGGTCAGGCCACAGTTGGAGTAGCGCATCCAGTTCTGGGTGCTGCACTTCAGGAGGGATGTGGACAGCATCGAGAGGGTCCAGAGAAGGGCCACTCGCATGATCAGGGGGCAGCAAGGTAGGCCCTACTAGCGGAGGCTATGGGACCTGAACCTGTTCAGCTTCCACAAGAGAAGGCTGAGGAGGGATCTGGTGGCTATCTACAAGCTGGCCAAGAGGGACCAGCAGGCTATGGGAGAGTCCCTGTTCCCCCAAGCCCTACTGGGAGTAACAAGGAATAACAGCCATAAGTTGACTGAGAATAGATTCAGGCTAGATATTAGGAGGCACTACACTTCACTGTCAGGGCGGCTAGGATCTGGAACCAACTTCCAAGGGAAGTAGTGTTCACTCCTACCCTGGGGGTTTTCAAAAGGAGGCTGGATAATCACCTAGCCGGAATCGTATGACCCCAGCATTCTTTCCTGCCCATGGCAGGGGGTTGGACTTGATGATCTACTTAGATCCCTTCTGACCCTACCTACTGTGAAACTATGAAACTTTCCAGTCTGTCAAGATCCTTTGGAATTGTGCTTGCATTCTCCAAGTGTTTGCAGTCCTTCCCAGTTTCATGTCACCTGCAAACTGGCTGAAGAAGCTTTCTATGCCATCATCTAAATAGTTAATAAACATGTTCAACATCACTGGGCCCAGAACAGACCCCTGTGGGATGCCACTCGAAACTCCTGCCATTCTGACATGAACCTATGAATAATTACCCTTTGCTTGCAGCTATTGCATCCAGTTCCAGGTGCCACACTTCAACAAGGATGTGGAAAAGCTTGAGAGAGTCCAGACAAGAGCCACCCATATGATCGGAGACTTGAAAGGCAAGCCATACAAGGAAAGGCTGAGGGACTTGGGTCTCTTCAGACTAAAAAAGAGAAGGCTGAGAGGGGACTTGGTGGCAACTTACTGCTGTATCAGGGGACTATATCAAGAACTTGGTGAGCAACTGTTCACCACAGCACCCTTGGGGAAAACCAGGAGTAATGGCCACAAATTCCTGGAAGACCATTTCAGGCTTAAAACTAGGCAAAACTTCACAATTAGGGTATCCAGACTGTGGAATAAATTCCCTCCAAAAGTGGTGCAATCACCTACCCTGGAAATCTTCAAGAGGAGACTGGGCAGTCACCTCACTTGGTCACCTGACCCCAGTTGTCTTTCCTGCCTAGTGCAGGGGGCCTGGACCCAATGATCTTGCGAGGTCCCTTCCATCCCCTTACAATCTATCAATGGCTCCATTTTGTAATAGTTTTATTGAGTCCACATTTCTCCAAGTTGTTTATGAGATGGTCATGAGGGACCTTGTCAAAAGCCTTGATAAAGTCTTGATACTGATACAAAGTCATGATTCAATTTATCTTCCCATGACACTATACCTACAGCATTCCCTTTACCTACCCAAGTAGTTACTTTGTCAAAGGAGGAGATCAGATTTGTTTGACATACTTGTTTTTCATAAATCCAACCTGGCTGCTTTTCTCCTCCATATGCTTGTAAACGGCCTTCCTTAGGATATGCTCCAGTAACTTCCTAAGGTGAGTCTAACCGATATGTTGTTCTCAGAGTCCTCCTTCTTGGCTTCATTAAAGAGGGGTAGTATACTGTTCATTCTTCCAGTCCTGTGGTACCTGGCCTATCTCCCATGACTTCATGAACATCATTGCCAAGGGCTGTAAGATTTCCTCTGCCAGTTCCTTCAGGACCTGGGGATAAAGTTCATCTGGCCCTGCTGACTTGAATTCATTCAGACCCAACAAAAGCTCTCTGACCATCTCTTTTGTTATCTCCTCCCTCAGCTTGCCCCCTTCCTTATCCAGATAATCCTTGTTAGGTGTCAGGCTGCAGCTTAATTTTTTTGTGAAGACTGTTAAGCATACTTGCCTTCTTTACATCTTCAGTTAGCAGTTCCCCTGGTTTGTTAACATGTGGAACACAGTGAATTGTAAGAGGGTGTAGGAGAAAAGATGGTTTGGGTTACGTCTGTGAAGACCAAGTATTGGAGAAACATGATGAATGCTTCCCACCATTTGGGAATCAGTCTCACTGGTCCTTTGATGTTATCCAGGAAAGGGAATCTGTTATTGGCTATGTTGGTAAAGCATGTGTGCGCGTGAGAACAAGATGTGATATTGTATTGATTAATGGACACTGGATTCAACCCATGGTGCCTTAGATGAATCACTGTTTCTGTAATGTAACCATCATTGTTAGTTGTGATCTTAAGTTTACGTGCCTATATGGACCATGCAACATTTGAATGCTTACCCTGAGCTCTACAAAGAGGCTTCCCCCATTTCAATGGGAATGGGTCTCACTGCCATCAAGAGACTATTAACTCATCCCTCTTTACAAGCTGAACTGCAAAGGCTCAAGACTTTGGGAGAGAATGGCAAACTTGAGATTCAACACAACAACCAGGAGATCTCTAGGCTTCCAGCTACAATAAAAAAAACACAGGCCATCACTCCTGGTGGGTGTCTTTGCTTGGATGGAGCCCCAATGCAACAGGTCTTTTGAATATCATGCTTCACCCCATTGTGGTGATCAACGGCTTCCAAATTATACTAGCAATTGGTCTGGTCAGTAACAATGCATAGGGGGTGACCGGGGCGTGACCAGCTGCGCTCGCTGCTTAGGAGATAGGCAAGGTGGGCAAGCAAGAGCACTGGTGCCCCCCTTGCAAGTGCTGGCCAGGAAGTGAGAGCTCCCACAGCCACTTCCAGAAGCAGCCATAGTGACTGGCTGCCTCGCGATTGGTCATGGGAGGACCCCCCCCATCAGCAAGATTGGCTGCAGGGATAACCCCCCAGTCGGTGGGATTGGCCATGGGGCGACTCCCCCTAGTCAGCAAGATTGGCTGTGGGGAACCACCCCCCCAGTCACTGACTGGTTGCTGGGGGGGGGGGGTGCATGTGTCCCCCCAACTAAGGCGGCACCAGTCACCCATGGGCCTGGTTTTGCTGGTTTGCTGGATCAAGTGACTGATGCAGTGGCTACAATGGATTGAAGATCAGACCCTGTACCACAGAGTAAGGATGTGATGGGGATACTCGTTCAACACAAGCACCCGATCAGTGCAGGGACTTGTTACCTGTCAGCTCTGTGTTCTGGAGAACCCTGGTGCAGTACCCAGCCTGTATGGCTCGCAAAGAACTCCCCCCCACCAACACACCTCTGCCTGAACCAGAAATGATCAGAAGAAGGACTTCCAAAACACAATGAAGATGCAGTGAGAGATGCACCTAAACCCCTCCAAATAACAGGGACAGGATTAAGGCAACTCCCCCAGTCCCATTAATATCAGAGATGGGAAAGGGAGGTACCTTCATTAGCATTCAGAATGAAGGACAGAAAGTCCAAGACAAGGACCGCACTGAACTCTGGGACCAGAGAAGACAGGGATCACTGCATGATGGGGGATCTCTACTCCAAATGCTAATCAACCCATGTCTGCACATATCCAGCTCAGCATTTATCAGACCAGTTCTAGTAATGTCTCCTTTATTGGCACCCAAAACACTGAATCTGCCTGTTTGCATTGTGAGCTCCCTCAGAGTAATACCACCCATACCCAGGAGTGATCAGGTCCTATTATCCAGTATATAAGCCATCGCTTACCCATAAACAAATCTAGTGTTCTCCCTTGAGCCATTGTTGTTTCCCTACAAAAAACCCTAGCCAAGCTCAAGTCTCTGTTCTGGTGCTTGGATTCAAAATGCTGCAACAGTTCCACTTTCCTGTCTGGAACACCTTCACTGATCATGCTGAGGGCTCTGCCTGTCTGCAAGCTTCAACAAACACCTGGGAACCTCAACCGGTTCAAGCTTCTCTGAGTAGTGAGATCCCAACTCTCTCTCT